AATGGACTCTAACTTTTTTTTTTTTGAGGGTAAAAACACAAAAAATTCTCACAACATTTTGGATTTTCTGTTCCTAACTTGACTCTTTACTGAGTAGAGCCACAAACGTTTTGACTCTTTATTACTGTTGCTACGGTTACATCAGGTCACGATGTGAGCTATGTTGAGTGCTAAGGCCCGAAGGAAACTCGTTTTGGGCTAAAGGTGCCGCATGCAGCTGCACATCAACAACAAATACACAAGAAGCACAAAAACAACCACAACCACGACATCAGTCAAAACACCGACGTCTGCATTCTCTAAATTATTACGGCTCCGACACAAACCAGTGCAGCTTCATTCATCAGTGAGCCAACTAACGTTTACCACAGCTGACATCTACGGAATAAAAAATAATCATATTAAAAGAAAAAGAGGATAGACAAAGATATTTAACTACTTATTTGTCGTCTCCTCGGTGTAAACACTGCCTGCAGTTCAAGATTCATTTAGTTTCTACATAACCTGTTCGGTACAAACAGCACGTTTTTAAATGAGAGAGATTCTGACGAACTATCGTGATTTTTAGCTGCAAGTTTTCTCACAGACGAGTAGTTCAAGGGGAGTTGGAAGTGTGAAAATCCGACTGTCTTCTGCCTGATAGACGGCATCATTTTGGAGAATTTTTCATGTTTTTCAAATCAGAAGGAAAGTTGTGCGACGGAGCGGTTCTCCATTAGAGAATATGTATAAGCTTACATTACGTTCTCCTCTGGTAGTGAAGATGAAACCCTCCCTGAAGCTGTTTGTTTTATGCTTTTCAGCTCTCTGCTGATCACAGCAGTCTGACCTGCTGCTGTCACACACTCCTCATCATCAGCTGAAGAATTAAGACGTTTCAGAAGCATTGAAAACCTTTATCTTTGCCACCTGAGCTACAGGGAAACATGCAGGTGAGTACTGAGCTCAACGTTGCTGCTTCTTGGAGCTCTGGCGCCCTCTTGTGGAGCAAACAGGAAGTCTGCAGGTGTTTTTTTTCACCTGTTTTTCTGCTTAAGCCTCCTATTACCTTTGGGGTCAATTTGAACTCGTTCAATATTTAAAATCTCTAAATAAGTCATTGACATATTTGTTCAGTTTTATTTAAAGGGCTATTTACACAAACACTGGGGTGACAATTTTAATTGTGATATTTTCTGGAGGTTTAAATTGTTGGGGTCAAATTAAACCCAAGGATAAAAGATGTCAGTAAATTTGAAGGCAATAGGAGGGTTAAATCTGTCATAAGATCAGCTTCAGACACAAGAAAGTCTGAGCAATGCATATCAAATCAAACCACAGCCCTGCAGACAGAAAGCATTCAGCATCATAAAAGCCTTCGTTTGACTGTAAACAGACTTGTTGTGGCGTGGCGCCCTCTACAGGAGGTGTGGCCCATCTGCAGCCTCTCACCTGAGTCGGGTTCAATAATAACACATCGATAAAGACTCGTGGGAGCGTGAAGGGGTCGACGTTGTGCAAGAAAGACCCTGCAGGGATCCAGCAGTGCACAGCTGGAATGAAGCGACCGTTAGAGGGGAAGCTCATAAAACCAGATCCTGTCGGGACACGTTCCTGATAACGCTCGGAGAAAACCCATCGGCCCGATCTGCACCTGAGAGCGAACAGGGATCCTGATGGAAGGCTCGGTTCAGTTTTAGGGACAATAGGCTCTAATTCAGCATCAGCTTCTGACACTGGAGGAGATGTTTTACACACGACGAAGCAGCGAATGCATCATAATGTTTCATAACGTGTGCTGAGAACGTGGAGCTGCTGAACCAGGATCCTGACGTGGATCATTCCTGCTGCTGCTGCTGCAGGGGATCATTCCTGCTGCTGTCAGCCGGCCTGAGAACAAGAACTAACCGTCAGGCTGCTTCTGGTCGACGTCTCGTTGGAACAGATTCCCACCTGAACTCGCAGCTGTTTATCTGATGAGGTGAACACATGCTGCTGCTCTGATTGGTTGAAGGTCTGTACAGGTGTGTCGGTACCTGTTCAGGAAAATGACCCGAGAGGTTCAGGACTGATTCCACATTCGCACGTTTCTCTGGAGGTGACAGGCTGGCGAGAAGCCTGCAGGCAGCAGAGTTACAGGTTTCGACGCTTTAGTTTTGACTCTCCAAGGCGATGTTTTTATTCCATTACTGCTCCAGCTTATTTAAATCAGGTCCAGATTAACTTCCTGATAGACAAAAACCCGCCAGCGACTTTAAAAATCATGTTATCGTTCAAGAAACCGCCAAAATTACACCATTTATCTGAGCCAGAAACTGTTAGAACGTTAAAATCAATAAACTTTCGACCCACCAACAGTCCTCCATCGGCTCCGTTGTGGAGATTTAACAAAATCTGAGCTTTAAATTCTCTCATTTAAAAATGTTCCCACAACAAACTGCTTGTTCGACCTGATTCTGCAAAAAAAAAAACTAGAAATTCTGAGCTCATTGGTGCAATTGAAAAGATAATAATAATAATAATAATAATAATAATAATAATAATAAGAGGTGTATTTATAAAGCGCTTTCACATAATCCAAAAAGATAAAAACACAGGTTTGATAGAATATATAAGTTAAAGTGATGCAATTTAAAATGAGTTCAAACAAACATGTATGCGTACAACACCGAGTACCAGCACATAGAGAGAGGACAGGAAAGACCTTAAAGGAAGGCCAGTGGGTTTTTAGCAGTTTTTTAAAAGCCTCCACAGAGTCAGCAGATCTACTGGCAGCTTGTTCCAGAGCTGAGGAGCAACAACCTCCAGATTTAAAAAGGGAGGAACAAGAAGCTGTGACTGATTCCACACGAGGAGAATCCAGGAACTCTGTGGTTGAGGTCCAGGCAGCGTTTCCACAGAGCAGAGAGGAGACAAGAATAAAAACCAACTAAAAACACCAGCAGAAGGCCATCTGCAGGACGTGGAGCCTCCATGTGTTCAGGTGGAGGAAACACCTGCAGACGTTTGTCAAGTCCTGGTTTTCACAAAATAATTAACTAAATAAATTTCACACATCCGACTTCACAAACATGTATAAGATGTTAAAGAGAGTTGATGTTTTATCTGCAAACAGTATTAAACATGTATGGAACGTATACAGAACGTATTGTTGATGTGGGACACGGTTCTGTTTCTGGTTTGTCTGTTTCCTGATTCTAACGAAGTCATTTTGACAGTCTCTGAGCTCTCTCTCCTCCTCCTTCATGTTCTGGCTCCACAGAGCTGCAGAAACAGGATCAGAAACGCCTTTTTCACACCTTCAGCTTCACAAACTTGGACCAAAGCTGCGACTAAAGTGAACATCTTTAACTTTTACTACAAAATATGTTTCTGTGATCGTCACACTTCAGTCAAACAAGGTGTCTGATTATATGTTTGCCAGTAAGAATAAAAAAAAAAGGTTAAATGTTCAATGTTAGTAACAGAAACAGGTGGAGCGCTGAGTTTTACAGGCAGAATATTTACACTTTAAAACAAAGACAAGGCCTCATTTATCAGTAAGCTGCTTGTCAGATGTACTTAAAAAAAAGGTAGAAACAAACGGTATTTTTCAACAGCTCCCAGGGAAAGACGATCAGACGGTGTGAGCTGACCTTGGCTCTGGAGGCGGTGGCGTACAGGGAGGAGCGTTTGGTGTCCGAGGAGATGCGGTCGGTCCAGGACTCTCCGTCCTCGGTGGGTTTACTGGCTTCACCGGCACTGAGGGAGAAAAAAAAAACAGTAAAGTATGTGTTAAATCCATCTTTATATCGACTCCACGTGTAGAAGTTTCTCCATCTTCTGCTCCGTCGGCTCTGATGTGTTTGGAACTTTTTCTTTGGCATAAACTTTGGATATTTAAAAAGGTATTTGTGGAATTTTAGAGTGAGTTCTTCCTGAGAGAGATATTTTTTCTCATAGATTTCTATACATTCAGACTTTTTTTTAGCGCCCTGCTGGCTGGAAGAACAAAAGTTGAAGTTGTGTTGCGTGAACGTTTCAGAAACATTTCTCCGCCTGTGCTGCTGGTACTAGTCGGTGGAACAACTCCACAGGCAGCTCGTCCTGTTTGTGCCTGAAAATCCAAATCTTTAATCCTTTGAGCCCCAAAAAAAACACAATTTAAAAGGAAATGCTGTTTTTAATTACAACGTTCATCAGATCAAGAAACTGTGAAAACCAACGGTCCTCGAACTACTCATCCGTCGGGACACATTAAATCAGGATTTTCACTTTATTCTACATGTCTGATTAAAAAATTAGTGGAAAATAGACGGTTTACACGAATGAGATTCTGTTAAATTAAAAAAATTCTGCACTTCCATCTGCAGCCCAGAGCGGGTCAGCACCTCAGCTACGACCAACAGGCAGTAGAAAACAATTCGAGGAACTTTCGGCTGCACTTGACGTTTTTGTTGAGATTCGTTTTCCGTGGAGCTGCACGACTTCACATCGCAGGAAGGAGCAAATCAAACACCCAGAAAGAGCTGCTTAGAGTTCAGAGGGTTAAAAAGAGGAACGACACTCTGGTAATCATCAATCAAACGGGTGAATCAGAGCTCAGGGAATGCTGAATAAAACCGGCTGTGCAGAAAGTGACTGTTTCTATGAGCAGCATTCCCAGCTGAGTACGACTGTCACACAGAACAAAGGCCGATTAATCCACCGGGCTGCTGCAAACCCAGCGTCTGCTGCCAACGCTAACGAGCCACAAACCAACAGGAGTCACTCTGGTTCGATCACAGTCAAGTGAAACAGTCGATCTGTGTGCATCGGAGTCGACGGCGGCTCCATCGATGTCATCTCGTCTAACAAGCCGCACAAAAGGTCTCTTTATGCAAACGCACACGTTCATTTACACAACTGGAGGAAACAGGAAGTGAGATGACAGGCCAACAATAGCAGCAGCTCGCCGACGAGTCGCGCTCGTGTGTGCAAACAAAGGCAGCGTTTTATTGATGCTCGGCCTTCTGCTGTCACACCGACAGGCGACAAGTGTTCAGGGTCGTCTATGTTTGCAGCTCTAATGACTCGGAGCCGACACGGACCTGAAATCTGACCGAGACGGACGAGAACGCTGCACAGAAACTGAACCAAACCTGGACCAGGTCTACAGCAACTTCAGTTTATTTATGAAGCACAGTTCTACCTCCAGACTGTGAATGTTCCAGAGGTCCAGGTCCTTCAAGTCCACAGAGGAGGGTCCAGATTGATCACCTTAATGGACTTTTTCCATCATTTCTGAGCCTCAGAACTTCATCAGTACAGCAGATAGACACATGACATTTAGGAGGAAGAACACATCTGGGTTCTGCTAGAACCTGACACCAGATCAGTTCTACATCCATCCAGGTGTCTGAACACTGGACCTGGTTCTG